AAGTGATGAGAAAAATGTCAAGCCTACAAAAATTGTAATTAATTAAGTAAAAATTAATAATTAACCCTAGATTTATTTGGACAATTAAAAAGAAGGAAACTTTAATTAATACTAATTAAAAAGAATTACAAAATAAAATAAAATCTAAGATATAAGGTATTAAGGCATCCATATTCACTATTATGCTTTTAAGATATTTATTACTCAAGTGATAGTAAGATTTTCTATTTCATTTAATATTCTTTCTTGAGTTATACTAAAACTATCTTTATCCATTAACCCACTATATATTTATGTAATTTTAAATATTTAAAAATATATTATATTCTATGAAATTCCTTAGTTTATAAAATTTCCTAGTTTATGTATTAACTTTTGAGTCCACTTATTATTAATACTGCACAAATCACGTTAACTCATCTTTGATTTTTATTCAATTCATAGTATATATTATTAGAAACTATTGTATAAAATCTTTTTTTGTTTCAATTATGTTCTCTATGTCAATTTTAATAGTGATCAAGCATTAAAAATTATTAAAAACAATAATATATACTTATAATGAAATAAAAATCTCCAAAACATAAAAACCTTAAAAATCTATATCAAATTGATTAAGTTACATTATAATTAGTTCATAATAAAAATATTAAAACTTGAAATTATAATTATGAATATAAAAATATTAACCAACAAATAAACATAATTAAAAAAAAACAAAATTCAGTTTGAGAAAGTAGAAATTTTTGATATTTTATTGTTATTGAAACTCTTATTGCCTCCTCTATCTTGATTTTCAAGTGTATTTCAAAAGGACTCCATAAAAACTCTCAAAGAATTCCAAAAAAATCTCCTCCAGAAGCCCCCATATATATTCTGATCTTGTGTGAATATTTATTACAGTATAAAAAACCTAATTGGAATAGATATGAGATCCATGCCAAGATAATAAAGATTTGGTGAAGATGTGTTGAAAATTGTTCAAGGGTTCGACACTCTAAATTGAAGTATCGATACCTTTGCTAAATCCATGAAGAACCCGGATGTGTAGGGAATTTTGGGCAAAACTGAAATTTTGGTTCTTTATTTGTAAACTTGTTTTGGGTCTCTCATCTTTCATAGATTGACTCTTTGATCCTCAAATGCTTATTTCTTCAGTTTGGTCCTAAAAGATCCAATTTCTTTCAATTAAGTCATTTTTTTGTATAAAAAATGAATATTATGTAAATCAAGTATAATCTTATAGATCACATTCAAATATCAATAATATACAATGTATATCTATGAAATTCTTACCTATCATAATACTTTTAATCTCATATAAACGTGATTAATATATAATAGTAATGATTAATTATTGATAATAAATTAAGTTTGAATTTTTTAAGATCTATAAATTTTAGCATAAAGAATTTAGGCTAGTGACCCATTCACGTTCTTTCACTCACCAAATACGGTTCACCTAAGTTCATACAGTTTGTTTTCTTTTTCTTTGTATATATTTGGTTATACACAAGAAGTTGTTCTTACATGCCCCTATTTTTGTCTTGACACAATCATTTCGAAGCACAAAATGAATCAAAACCCTAGAGAAAAGAGAAAAAAAAAAAAACTATCAGTGGTCAGTGTTAGTTGGGCCATTGCTTTTCCCAAGTACCATCGCATCTCGTTCCCTCCCTTTCTCCTCTGAGATGGAAAGAAAAAGGAAAAAAAAGTAATATAAAAGGGTAGAAGCTGTTAAAGCAAACAAAAGTATTAGTCATTTTCCCAGTTGTGACTGACTGCGAGGTGGGATCAGTGCAAGCCAGCTCATTAGATGAGGAAAACGCGTTAAATTATCTTTTTGGTCCTTACAGTTTGTGTGCTGATAAATTAGTCCCTGAACTAAACTTGATATATATGAATCCAATCCTTATAGGGTTTGAATCAAATCAATTGAGTCATAAAGTCAATAATCTGCTAATTTTTAAAGGGAAAGTTCATTAGACTCGGTGGATCCACTTATTTTCTTCCAAGGAAGTTCATTAAATTTAGTTGACCAATTATTCAAAGTCATTTGGAAGATGGTAATTAACTTTCTTAAAAACGCGTAGCTTTTTTTTTTTTTTTAACAATCAACAAAAGATTTTATTTTAATGGAAATCATGGTTGGTCAATCTTTCTTTTTCCATGAATACTACGGAGAGAAAATGTTAATGGAAGTCATAGTTTGATACAAAATTCATGACACATGTTCTCTTATGTTCAAACTTAAATTACAATTCATTTTCGTAGTTTACATAAAATCAGCAAATCTACTTTGAACACATTGCAGCACAATAATAAATTAAACAAATGAAATTACCTAGTGTAAAAACCAACATAATTAAAGTTAGACAATAATCTACACAAAATAAGATTCAAACTTGAGATCTAAAAGTATTCTATTGCCTAAGAACTTCACTAAAATAAAAGAATTCAAAGTGACTTTTATTGGGAACTTTCTTTTATAAAGATTAAATGCTAAATTTGATCTCTCAACTTTATAAGTTTGCACTTTTTGATCCTTAAATTATTTTTTGCACTTTTTTGACCCTTTGACTCTAAAAATTGTACAATTTTGGTCCCTCCGTCAGTTAAGCATGACGTGGCAATTAAATAATCCGTATGACATTTTCTTTTAATTTTTTTGATGATGTGGCAATAATATATATTATAATTATGTTATATAGATAAATATTTATATTTTAATTAAAAAAATAAAATTACATTATTACCCTCACCTCCCAATCCTTCTT